AACCCAAAACCCTAAGCCCAAAAACCCTAAACCCTAAACCCTGTAGACCCTCGACACTAATGCTCCTAACTCTAAGGCTTTCAACCTTATTGTAATCATGGTATAATATACCCCAAACCCTATTCTAATTATTAAGGCCCTATGTTAACTCTAAGCCCCAAAGCCCTAAACCCTAAACCCTATAGACCCTCGACACTAAAGCTCCTAACTCTAAGTGGTATCATATACCCCAAACCCTATTCCAATTATTAAGGCCCTTTGTTAACTCTAAGGCTTTCAACCTCCTGCTGGAGCTTCCCCTGTCTTTCTTCGCGCTCTTGGGCGTGGGCTGCTTTGGGAAGCTTGGCCCGTTGCGGATGCTTTGGTGCCTTGCACGCGGCTTTATGTTTGAGGGTTTAGGGTTTAGGGTTTGGGGGCCTTAGCCCCCAAATATTCGGAACTTAAGCCTAGAAGCCGAAAGTCCTAAAACCCGCTGCAATCCGTGATGACGAAGCTGTGGATCTCTAAGTCCCTGCACTTGATGTTACAATGAGACCTCAGAGGAGGGTCACTCTTTTTGGCCGGTTGCACCACTTTCGGGTTTAGGGTTTAGGGTTTAGGGTTTAGGGTTTAGGGTTTAGGGTGCATAAACTCGGAAGAACCGGGCTCGTCGGTAGGGTGCGGGGTCCCCAGTCCTGACCATGGGCCTCTTCGTGGAACTGAGGTGCTTTGCTGCCTGCTGCTTCCACTGCGGTGTGAACTTGATCTGGGGAAGCATGCAGGCCAGCATGTACAACTTCGAGACGTGGATCATCCTGGTGTCCTTCGATGGGTCTTGAGACACCGTTTTGCCTTTTATGGAGGGTCGTGCGTAGCTAGGACTAAGCACAGAACACCCGGATTTACAAGCACATGAATGGTGTTCCCTCAACCCTCAACTTAAACCGATCCCCCTGAGCCCTAGAAGGCCTAAACCCTTAGCCGAACGCTGAGCCCTAAACTCAAGCCTACACCTGATTACTCTCGAACCAAGACGACCCGCATTTCTTGTTTGCTGGTCAGGGTCTTCCCGACCAGCACTCCGTATTATCTACTGTCCTTTTCTCTTCCCTAGTAAGGGGCCCAAGCCAGCCTATTAGTTGCTATCCGTTTCGATAAAGTCAAGGAGACGTTTGAGAACACGCAAAGCCCAAACCCTGAAACCCCTCAATATAACCCTAAACCCTAAACCCTAAACCCTAAACCCTAAACCCCAAACCCTAAACCCTAAACCCTAAACCCTAAACCCTAAACCCTAAACCCACAAAGTATGCACTTTCCCATCGACTCCTGGATCCCGCCGTTCCCACCGAGGCTCGTGGTGGACGTCTGCGGGAAGCTAGGTTGGTTTTTTGGGACATTTTTTTGTTTTCTCATTTGGGTTTATAAGGGACCCTTTAT